TTTTTTTTTTTCTTCTCCTTCCCCACCCCGGGGTCAGATGGCACATTCTGGGGACTGAGGAGCTCACCATGAGGGCTGCGAAGGATCGCCCTGAGCTGGGGGCCAAGCACAGCCCGCCCCGGGTAGAAGGCCACGACGGCTCGCCCCGGGCAGAGGGCCGAGGGCAGCCCGCCCCGAGCAGAGGGCCGCCACAGCTGAAGTAGTCTTTTTTTAAAAAAGAAGAAGAAAAAGTGTGTGTGTGTGTGTGTGTGTATACCGTCAAATTGGATCTGACTGGTACAGGAGACTGCCCCTCCTTCTCCAGCAGAGCATGAAGTAGAGTCTGGGTTTTTTTTTCCCCTCAGATGCCTGTTGGGGCCTGGGTTTTAGCTGTCCACACCACAGCAGTGGGCAACGAGCTTAAAGCCCCTGATGGCTCTGGGCGCTGACTCTCACCATACAAAAGCATTTTTACGGTCGTCTGACGACACAGCATGTTTTTTGCGCTCTTAGGGAACGAAAAGCTCCATCCACAACCGCGAGGAGGTTCAGACTCATTTGCACTGCTATGGACCATTAGTTGGTTATTCAAGCTTTTTGTGCTTTCTGGCGTCTCACCCTCAAAAATGGAATCAATAAGGGTGCTAACGGTATTCTCTGACGTTGACATTAGGACTAAGTGCATTGGTACCGTGGTGATAGTTTGCAGCTCGTGGTGGAACGAGTTGATGTACTGACTATTATTTCTATTTTTATATTTTTACTGTATTGACAGCCAAGAACGGCGCAGAGCTCCTAACCAACATAGTCTTTTCTACTATCTTTGGAGATCTAAGCGATTTTATGTATTTATTTTTTTTTTCAGGTATATAAAGGGAGACTTGAAATTAAATGACTTCTCCCTGGTGCCAACATGTAAGAGTAGCGCTAGAGTTTGAACCCTAGCAGCCTGGCTCCAGAGCCTGCGCCCTAAATGTTGTTGGGTAGCCATTATGTGGAGTCAGGAACGCAAGTAAATAGAATGCAGCTTGGTGAAGAGAACCCTTAGAGTGTAGACAAGGAACACGAAGAAATGTGATTGTGAAGTAGAGCAGAGCAAAGAAATTGAGCGTTGAGCCTAGAATGGACGGATGAGTCCATAGTAGAAGGGGTTCGTATCCCCAGTGATACCCAAGGTCACACCTGGAAAGGGTAACTGAAAGATTGGATTAGTAGGAAGCTCCAAGGTTTGGATTCTGTGCCTAGAAATGATTGACATTTATTCGTAAGGTATTTGGAAGCTGGTAGAAGTTTTTAGGCAGGAAAATGTTAATGTAATTTTCATGTTTTGGTGTAACTGGTAGGAATATAGAGAATGCTGAAGAAAAGGAGATGAGTTACTGAGCTGTTAGATCAGGTGAGAGATGTGGATGGTCTGGGCTGGTCAGGTCTGTGGACATTGATAGTATTGTTGTTTTTTTAAAATTTAGGTTGTTTATTTTTCATTTCAATGAACATCTACAGAGATTTTGGGATTCCATTCATTCATTGTTGCACCCTTCTCCCCGCACAAACC